AATATTTAAAACAATTATTTAAAATATGTACTTAAAAAATAAAATGTATTCCGTTATTTATTTAGACACTTGAATATATTCTATTATAATAAATAAGTCGAAAAAGTACTTCTAATTCAATATTGATCCTAATCAATTTTGTGACCTTAAATAATGATTTAAACACGTAAAAAATGCAATTAGAATATAGTTATAATTACTTTTTTTATTATTAATGCCAACTTATATATTGGGAAAATATTTTCTTTTTACTTTAATTGGAACTAACAGAAGAGAAAAAATTTTCTTTCAAATAGAATATTTTACGTTATAGATGTTTATGCGATTTTGTTAGAAAATGTAATAGAACGTAATGTCCTAATTAAACTCACCATAATATATTTCTGGTTCAGGAGTTGTCGAGCATACCATGTCGAGTTCGATTTCTTCCGCCATTGTCATGGATGAATCAGGTGCAACTCTTATCTCCAATTCATTACCTGCGAATGTGGTTATTTTATTGAATTCTTATCACAGATTGTGTTGTATTAAGATTGTTTACAAAATCTGTTTGAAATTTAAAAAATTCACACTTTGCCATAAAATTATCTTCAATCATATAATAGCAAATTATATTAATTAAAAATTATTTCAAAAATTTATTCAAAAAATTGATCTTTATATCACATTATATGCATAGGCGTGAAATTTTTTTCGGAAGAGTTTTCTATCAATCTAGGAATGTACTGTGCACCAATCGGAATGACATCAAAAAAAAAAAAAGATTTTGGTATTACACAGTGAAAAGAAAGTCAATGTACCAATTTTATTGTAATTTACAATTTTTAACATTAATAAATTCCATTTGGATATTTTTATAACTTTTAATGTCTCTTCGTACGTCATTTTAAAGAGGAAACATGTTTACATTTTATACATCATGTAATTTTTACTTATTTTTTTAAAGACATTTTTTTAAAAGAAAAACAGTATAGCTACTACAAGCAAAATGTTTAATTCTTTAATATTGTTATTGTATGCTCGAACTAACAAAAGTATACAAAATTGTTTATATGATTTTATAACGAAAAGAAAAAAATATTAAATGTAACAGCAAAAGCTCACACACACACACACACAAAATCAAAAGTAAAGTTGTATGTTTTTTATAATTAAAAATGAAAGAGAAATTTCGATAAAGTACAGCGCTTAATTGGCCAATTCAAAATAAAATATTCTCATTAGTAAAGCATAAAAAATTATTAGGCATCGACTGATGCGAATAAATGTGTGCTATCAGAATGTGCGTTAACGAGACTCTCTCAAAATGAAATAATTAATAAAAAATTTCGGAGAGGGGAGGGGGGGTGAACCCTCCCCCATGATTATATGTAATAAATGATTTATAACATAATATTTGATAGAAAATGCAATTTTAAAAAATTACATTATAAAGATATTTTTTAACAATAATAGAATAATTCAAGAACTTGTTGAATAAAAGCGAAACAGAAATAAACAATTTGTTATCTTTTTCTACAAATGATTAATATTCAATTGTAACAGAGATTAGAAAACAATTTCATTATTACTCACTTTCTTGGCAAAGCAAAGACAAATCGGTCTGTTGTGGGAATTTATTGTCTTCTTCATCTATCTTGCTCGGTCTTGCTAGTAATCTCTCGATGCTAAAAGAACATAATCTCGGGTTTTCCGCAGAATCGATCGTTTCCTTCGACGAGTCTGATTTTTTCATCTCTTCATCGGACATCTTGAACGCGTTTTGTCAAAACAACACTCAGAATATACTGTTAGTAACATAAAATCGTCTTTTTGATATTCTCAAGTAAATATTTCGCGCCCATTGAAATATATTCTACAACTGATAGATTAATTTTTCTAGGATTATATTTTCAAGTTCCTTTTATCAATCTTAATATCACTCATTTAAAAAAAAAAGATTTTTAAGCGCCGTCTACAATGAACAGTAGCAGTAGTGGTCGTAGACACGTCGAAAATAAGCTGATTTTCCGGCCCAGCCGGA